AGGTGGGAGCAGAGCAGCTCCAATGGTCCGGCTGCCCGGAGCACTTTGGGGTTCCTGATGGTGCCGGACCATCAGGAGTACTGGACCATCAGATGCCGGACCATTGGAGTTTTACTATACATCTAACCTCCACAAAGATTTAAAGATGCCTACCTGTGTGACTTCTCTGATGAATTGCTAAAAAGTGATTATACTTAAACACTTTGCCACATTCTTTACAAGCAGCTTCAGAACCTGTGCGTTTTCTTTTTCGATCAGTTCTCTTTGATAATACTTTTCCATCTTCATCACCAACAAGTTTATAATCTTTTAATTTGATGGACCGTCGTATCCTACGTTTGCTGTAACGACTCTGATTGCTCTGTATTGCTTGAGATTTAGGATCATAATTCTCATCCTTTTCAGATGATCGATCTACAACAGTTTCTGAACCACAAGCTGACTCAGTTTCTTCTACTTCTTTCCTTACTGGAACCTGTTCACTGACAACTGCTTCTTCTGCAACTTTTTTCATAAAGTTTTGTTTATTTTGCACTGAATTGTTCTCTCTTAACTGCACATCTTCAACAGGAGTTATCCCAAATTTTTCCTCTTGCATATTTTTTACTTTTCTTGGTCTTCCCCGTTTTCGCTTTGGTGGATCTCCATTTTTCTTGTCATTTGCAAAGACAACTACTGAAGCACCACTATTAGATGTGACAGGTAATATGGTATTTGGGCTATGGTTGGTCTGATAATCTGCATGTGCCCATACTAAATCATTCACTTTTAGGAGCTGGGCAGTTGCCAAGATTTGTTCCATACTTTTCTCACTGGCATGGAGATAACCTGTGTAGATAAATTCCAGTAGCGCACCAAAAATGTCCGCAACCATTCCCTCCAACATATAGATTGACTGGCTTATCTCTCCCTCTTCTACAAACATCATTGAAAAGTACTCACTGCTGGCCGCAAGTAAAGCTTTGTGGGCTCTGAAGTGCACATCCTCTACTATTAAAGTGATATCACAAAGATAATTCTTTTTCCTTTGTTCCTCAAAATTTGCTAGAATGGTATCTCTATGAGCCTTGGAGTGGATAACAAGCAGCTTCTCTGGAGTGTCAGCAGTTGCGTCTGCCATTTTTAGTGCAAACAGGAAAAGAGTTACCTACAAGAGTAAAACAGTATTATTGAAAAAAAGATCTATTACAAAAACCAAAATATTACAGGATACTCCATAAACAAGGAGTTTCTGCAGCAAAACTGGAGCTTTTGATCGAATTATAAAAAGTCAACGCTGACATACTTTTTCACTTGAAATAAAACAATTTTTTTAAATACCGAAGAATAGTTATAGTAACTTCTGAGATGGAAATTATTTTTTATTATTATTTATTTAGTACCAACGTGCCTCATGTTATTCAGTACCCAAAACGACTGCCCCATCTGAAACAGCTTTTGAAATGTAAGAAAAGTAGTGATACTGTTCCTTTCAATGATAACTTTTTTCCCTGAAAAAAATAATAGGCAAGAAATAAAATAGCATGTTTAGGCACAAAGTTGTCAGGGAATGCAACAATTATGTTTTACAGCAGGTGTGAACAATAATTTTTAATAGATGTTGGTAAATAGTCAAGGGCTGCACTTCTGTGGAGGCAGTGTCAGGTCTGGGACAGTGGGTGGGGTGTAGAAGGGAAGTTTGGGTGAAGGAGGAGATTATGATCTGGGGTAGGGGTTTGGAGTGCAGGGTCCGGGAGGGGTTATGGATGCAGGAGAGGATTCCGGCCTGAGGAAGGGGTGTAGGACATGGTGCAGGGTCTGAGGGAGTGTTGTGATCTGGGAGAAGGGGTGCAGAGGATTTGGATGGTGATATGGGGCAGGAGAATAGGGTGCAGGGTCCAGGAGGGGTTATGGGTACAGGAGAGAATTCTGGCCTGGGGGAGGAGTATAGAAGAGGATGCAGGTTCTGGGAGAGAGTTGTGACTTAGAGGAGGTAGGGAGAGGGGAGGCAGAGGGTTTGGATGGTGGCCTGGGGGGGAAGGGAGAGAGAGAGAGAGAGAGAGAGAGAGAGAGGAGGCAGTGCTGCTCCACGTGGCTCTGCTCCAGCACAGGGAGGGGGGAGTGAGGAGGCTTCATTTGCTGACCCTGATTTCAGCAAATTTCTCAGCTCCTATTGGCCAGAAACTGGCCAATCGGAGCTTGGTGATTTTGCTAGGGATCAAGGTCAGCACACAAAGCTTTCTCCTCCCTGCCCAACTTGCAGAGCAATTAGAAGCCTGCTGTTTAAAATGGCAACCTGCCCACTCATTTTACAGTAACAACTTGGGCAATATGGGCAACTTGTGACATTCATAACATTCTTAACTTTCATATAAAACAAGGTTATCTGTTTAAACGAGTCAATTCCAATCTATGTTTCTCATAACATTAACTTGTAAAAGCTGTGGATGCTTGTATGCATTTTGGTACTGTATACATTCATAACCACACAATGGTATCACTACTTTTCTGGTTATAAAATCATAGGGTCTTACATGTAACATTCTGAGTTGTAGACAGATTGTTCCCAGGATATTAGTAAGAAAGAGTGGGTGAGACTGTATCTTCTATTGGGCCAATTTCTGTTGGTGATTGAGACACAAGCTCTCTCAGAAGTCTTCAGGTCTGTGAAAGGCACTCAGATTGTAAGAGCTAAATACAAGATTGAACAGACAGTTTAGCACAAGAACATTAGCACATATTCTATCTGTTCAATCTTGTATTTAGTTGTGACAACCTGAAACACTCTCTCAGATATGAAGAGCAGCTCTACTTAGCGCAAAAGAATTTCTCTCTGACCAACAGAAGTTAGTACAATAAAAGATATTACCTCACCTACACTGTCCCACTAATATGATTAGGCCAATTTTGGCCCATGTGATATTTGCTGGTGATTTGCAGAGAGCTGGTAATTTCTCCTTAGAGCTAAAATGTATCAGAACTAAAAATAATAAACATCCAAATTAGCATTAGGACATTTTAAATATAAACAATGATTGTAACAGTTACACAGATTTGTACAACTGGGAGTTCTTTTCCAGACTTATAAATGGGAGGGGATGGTGGTTACCTTAAACATTGTTGGTATAAAAATGGGTACAGTGAAAGTCTGAGAACATCTAAATTACCATGATTTACCACAGAGCCTAAAATACTACCAGGATCTCTAATTTAAAAAAACCGGAATAATCAGAAAAGGAGCTAAAGAGGCACTAAACAGCATACTGGACAGTCACAGATCAGAACATATCTGCTCTCTTTTACAGAAGCCGAATGATTTATTTTAAGCTTTTTATAAAAAACTCCCAGCCAACAGGAACACACACATTTTCTGAAACAAGACTGTGCCCTGTGATTTGAGCAGTGACTCGGAAACCAGGGCCTCCACGTTTTACCCTCAGCTTCTGGTCCTATTCCTGAGCAAGGCAGACTTCCCCACACACATTCGTTTCCCTAATTATAGAAGGGTGGAAGGATACTGGCCCGCACCTTTCAGCAGTGTTAATTCACTAAAACACACACAGTGAATGAGATTGAGAATTCAGCTGTCTAGAACCAACTGGTTCAGCTAAACAGGAAACCAGAAAGACTTTCTTAACATGGTAGTAGGTTGAGTTTTCCATTTATCCTTTTCATCCAGAAACTATCTTATGTTCATTGTTTTGTGTGTCTGATTGTAAACAGTTCTTACAACAGACTGAGGGTATGTTTACACTAGCCCCCTAGTTCGAACTAGGGTGGCTAATGTAGGCATTCAAACTTTCAAATGAAGCCCGGGATTTAAATATCCCGGGCTTAATTTGCATGTTTCCGGGCGGGCGCCATTTTTAAATCCCCTTAGTTCAAACTGCCCACAACTACACATGGCAGTCAGAAATTAATCCAAACTAAGGACTTAGTTCGGATTAACTGTTAGTCTTCCTGCAATGAGGTGTAACAGTTAATCCGAACTAAGGATTTAGTTCGGATTAATTTCTGACTGCTGCGTGTAGCTGCGGGCAGTCAGTTCGAACTAAGGGGATTTAAAAATGGCACCCGCCCGGGAACATGCAAATGAAGCCCAGGATATTTAAATCCAGGGCTTCATTTGCGAGTTCGAATGCCTACATTAGCCACCCTAGTCAAACTAGGGGGCTAGTGTAGACATACCCTAATATTAAAGCAGAGCTAAAACAAATCCTCAGATCAACTAGCTATGATGAGCAAAGTTCCTAGCTCTGATTCATGAAACAGACTGTGGCTCTATTATTCTGTTTTCTCCACATACACAGCTCTCATACTGTGTATGAAGCTCATGGATGAAATCTTGACCACACTGAAATCAATGGCAAAACTCACTGACTTCCTAGAGTCAGCAGGGGTGCTGGGAGCTATTGAACCAAACTGTAAACCTTGTATATAATGGAAACCACTTCAAGCCAGGGTGCTGCAGCACCGCCCGTCTCCATGCCTCTGGTCCTCCTGTGCCCAGTTACCTGTGGTGACCATCTGTTCTTAACCAAAATGAGGGACACAGCCACGCCCTGTGATCCCAGCTAGCCACCCCCACTGCCACGAGAAGCCCCACCCCTGGAGGTAGTACTCCCAGGGTCAAGATGGACACATGACCAGAAGTAAAAGGTGTCCTGTGACCCCCTGTAAGAACTCCTCCCACCCTCTGCCAATAGGGATGACTTTGGCCCCACAGACTATCCTGCAATTGCATTAACCCAACTTGCATTCCACTAACTCAGGGGGAGTGGCTGGGGGAAGTGTTCCCTCTAAAATTTTCCTCCCATGAGTAGAGTGAATGTTGTCTTGTGCTCAGGAGTGGCCTGAGGCCGGCTGCGGCAGCTGGTTCCCCCAGGTGGAAGGAGTGATCGGTGCCCCCACCAGCACTGCCATCAATGGCTATGACATCATCATCAGGCGCTCAGGCCAGTGGTGCCCTAGGCAATTGCCTAGTTTGCCTAGGCTCACGGGCCGCCCCTGCTTGTGCTCTAGTATTGGGTCCATATGGGCTTGTTCTGATGTGTGCCACTGTGGCACCCAAGTTATTAATAAATATCTTATAAACCGCTCCCTTTTCCCTCTGCTGCCATGTCCCCTTCCCTTCCCACATCTGCTTCCCTGATGCCTGCTGCCCCCCCCCCCCCCCTCCCCCTCCCCTTCTCTTTCTTCTCACCCCTTTGGGGACCTGCCCCCTCCCCTGCACCAGCCATTCTCTTCCCCCTGTGCCCATTCCTCCTCTAGCCCCACTCTGATCTGTAGCTACCCCTCTCCATCCCCTCTCCTAACACCTCCGGGTCCACCTGTCATGCCTCTCTCCTCTGTTCTCTGGTGCCCATCCCTCCTCTACACATGTCTGCCTTTCTGCTTCTCTCCCACAGTCCCCTGGCACCTGCACCTTCCCTTACCCCTGCACCTTCCTGGTGCCTCCCTCTGCCCTCCTTCTCCCTGGTGCCCACCCCCTCATCACTCTGCACCAGTTCTCCTCATGCCCCTCTGTGCCCTCACATGTGACTTGCTCCATCCCCGCCTTCCTCATGCACAGCGCTCCTTCTAACCTCTCCTCTCCGGGCACCCCCTTCCTCTCCTCAGCCTCTTTCCCCTTAGTTCTCCCCCTGCCCATTCCCTCACATTGTGCCTTCCAGTTTGTGGGGACTGGAGCCCTCAGTCCAGCCCCAGAAGCCCCCCGCAAAGCTAGTGTACTACACGCCAACTGCACTCACCCTCCCCTCTCCCCCTCCCCCCTGCAGCTGGCCCTCGCTCCAACCACACTCCCCCTCTTCCCCCAACCCAGCTGGCCCTTGCACCTACCATACTTCCCCTGCCTTCCCTCCGCCCAGCTGGTCCTTGCATGGACCGCACTCCCCTGCTCTCCCTGTGCCCAGCTGGCCCTTGCACCAACTGCACTCTCTCTGCCCATCCCAACCCAGCTGGCCCTTGCACCAGCTGCACTCCTCTCCCCCCCCTCCCCCCGCTATCTCCCCTGAAACTTAGCTGAACAGCGAGACGGATCCCTGCCTTCCTCTCCACCCAGCTGCTTTCCTGGGTACCAACAGGAAATGCCTCCCTCTGCTCCTTTTGGCTGGATTTCCAGCAGCAGGGAAAGGCTTCAGGAACTGGCCCTCCAGTCCCCTGTCCAAGTGAGGGGGAGGGGAATTAACAGTGCGCAGCAGCATTTTTTTCCGGGACTTTTCAGAACTGTGTGGGGCACCGGGACAGGACATTAGAAATCGGGACTGTCCCGGGAAAATCAGGGCAGATGGTCAGCATACAATTACCCCAAGGCTGAAGCCTAAAGTCTGCTGGAGAACTCCCCTTTCTCTTGCAGTCTTGTGTTTCACCTGTCTCCAGAGGCTGGGCAGGAGCAACAGGGAGAGGGGCTGATACATTGTCTCCCCTCCTCCCCCCCAACCACTGCCTGGAGGCCATTGTTTCTGCACAAAAAGCACCTAGGGTACGTCTACACTGCAGAGAAAGATTGAAGTTGCCGCTGACGATCTTCCAGGATTCAAATTAGTAGTCTAGTGAAGACAGCTAATTCGAAGTGAGAAGGGCACTCTGGTCGATGTCAGTAACCCTGCTTCCACAAGGAGTAAGGGAAGTCAAAGAAAGCGCCAGAAGTCGAGTTAGGCTTCTTAGACTTCAGCTACACAATTAATGTAGCTAAAGTTGCGTGTCTTAATTCAACTTTGTCCTATAGTGTAGACTTACCCCTGGTGCCGTGGTCACCAACAGGTCGATCGAGAGGCATCCGGCTCCCCCTCCCCCATTTTCCTCCCACCCCCAAGAAGTCCCACTACCTACCTCCAGTGAAAATGGAGGTAGTGCTGACTTCCTGCAGGTGGACAGAAGTCCCGCAGCTTAGCGCCACTTCCGGGGGTTCCGGACGTCTGCTGGCTGCTCTGCCAGGTGCACTGCGGGAGGGGGCGTCGGTCCCAGAGGAGGAGCACAGCAGGGTTTCCCTGCGCCGCTGGGGGGGGAGGGTTCATCCCCGGGGTAGGCACACGGGGGAGTTTCTCTGCACACGTGGGGTTTCCCTGTGCCGCGGGGGGAGTCGGGCCCGGAGG